ACGAAGAGTTAAAGGTTTAATTGGATTGACTGAAAATGCTGCAAGAAAGTCCCTACATGTTAGCCTCAGATATGCGAACTTTGACCGACACAGCAGACAAACACAAAAATAGAAAGTAGACCACAGAAATTATTTCCAATAATATCAAGATTGTGATTCTGGCCATACAATGGTAGCCAGAATAATTCATATATACTCCGTTAAGTCTCGAGTAATAGTGCAACGAAAACATCATGATTGTATGGCCCCATGAATAGTACAGTGAGGACACGTACTGGGTCCATCATTACTCACTGCTATCCACATTGTGTATGACCGTATGTAAAATATAATACAAACTGAGATATGTGAAAAGATGTGTTATGCAAAATGAGAGTGACCCAGATTTACTGGCCGAATCTAGCCTGGCATCCGCTGGCCAAATTTACTCCACACTGATCAATTGGCATCAATGCCGCATTCTTTGTTTATCTCTAGTATAGCCATTTTCCGATCTTCTGCAACATCGATCTGATTCTGACCTGAATTAGCATAAACAGTTCTCTCTCTACAACCCATAAATGCAAGAAGAGAGTGATGTACAAATCAATCATTTTCTATTGTCCAATCCAATTTGAAATCGGAGCACATGCCAAACAGGGTGCACAACGGCAGACCCTTAGTGCCAAACGCTGCAGTTTGGCTATACGATGTGAGTTTCATGTAACAAAATTTCAGATTCTTTATTTTATTTTTTATTGTTTTCTAATTTACTGTTCATGAGGGTGTAGCCATGTAGGGACAAGCGGGAGCTACCACACCTTTCTCTAACCAGAGGGATCCATGGTGTTGAAATGCCTGTGATGCCGCCAAGAAGGGAACCAACAGGAGGTGTGTATCTCCAATTTTAGCTGAGAGGAAGTCGATCTTTGGACATTGGGGGACCAAGGATGGATGTTTGCAGGATTAATGGGTAGGATTATGAGAGCTCATCATGAGGAAAGCGCTGAGAAAGAAAAATGAGGCTTCAAACCTGGCTGGCCTGTAGCTATTCCAGAATTATTGGTCGGCAGGGAAGGTGACTCCAAAATAATAGCTGATGCTAATGGCAGGACGGGAGGCAAGGGTATGGGCGAGCCAGAAACAAAAACAAGTGCTGGGATGTCGGAATAGTCATGCAAGCGAAATTGAGACTAGTGGCATGGAATTTCCGGGGCTTGGGGAATGGCCAGGCAATTCGTGGGCTTCTGGATGTGCATAAGTAAGACCCCGATGGCTATTTCTTTTAGCAACAAAGATGGTGAGAAGTAAGATTGAATGGTTGTGGTGGAAGCTTGGTCCACATATGGAAGTGAAGGATTGTTGTGGGAAAGGAGGGGGCCTTGCAATGATATGGAAGAGAGAGATAAATGTCAAGCTTTTAGATTTTGTGTCGAGGTACCACCTTCATACAGAAATAACAGAAGAGGATGGATTTGTATGAAGGTTTACGGGTATATATGGTGAGGAAGTTAAAAGATGGAAGTTATTGCATACACTAAAGGCAAGGGGATCAAAACCATGGTTGTGAGTGGGAGATTTCAGCAAAAGTTTACACCCATGGGAAAAGGAGGGAGTGTTGAAATCACAGTCATGCATGCATCATTTCAAGGCGGCGCTAGATTTTTATTTTACTCAATTAGTCTTACTATGTAATGAATTTGAATGGAAATAACTTTTGTGGGTGAATGAACTTGGTGGTTCCAAACCGACAACAGAAAGACATGTGATCCATCATTGTTTTGGTGTGTTGGGATGTCTGGAAAAGCTTGTCATGGAGATCTGCCGGCCTACTTAGGGTAAATTTAGACAAAAAAAGATTGTGTCGGTGGGCTCGTAGAACTTCACCGTATAAGTCCTTAGATCTAGTTTGCGGTAGATTGTGGAGGTGTGTGTGTGTGCGCGCGTCGTGCCCTAATCACCTTGGGCTTTCTGGCCCTCCCTTCTCTTATAATATAAGATATCCATGTTTATGCGTATTCTAGAGAAAATGTATAAGCAGTTATCTCTCTCGTCCCGTACATGCAAGAAAAGAGTGACGTGCAAATCGTTCATTTTTTATTATCCAACCAATTTGGAATCGAAGCACAAGCCAAACAGGGTGCACAACGGCAGGCTCTAGTGTCTAGTGCCAAAGGCTGTAGTTTGGCTATGCGATGTGGGTGCCCTGAGTAGTACGATTATTTGCAAATGTTAGGACATGTACAACGCAGGCACTAAGTGCAGGGCGCTAGGGATAAAATCATGGTTGTTTTCGCGGTTTGGCACGGTGCCGGATCCTTTTCTTGGCATCCATGCTCAATGAAGAGCCCGACGCTTCAAAATCGCATACAAATCCAGCTCTTGGCGACCCAGGCGACACAATCGCAGTATACTGGTGTGTATTATTGGGACATGTAAATTAAAAAATAATTTTCTTGTTCGATCTCGACGCAAACAACACCGGCTTAAATACTACTAGTACATGGGAGGTGAAACCATGTTGCCATCCACTTTGGCTCCCAGCAACAACCATCAGGCCCCGTCAAGAACCGGAGGCGAAACTTCTAACGATGGTGGCCCATGCATGGCCATCAGTTTCCAACCACAAGCTTCTGCGCCAATTGATATGGCACCTATTCCACAAAAAAAAGGCCGCGTGCCAATTTTGCATGACATTTC